TACAATGCTTCCCAAAGGCTTCAAATTGATTACATCACGAGCCACTTCGGAGACCGACCATCAGTCTGAATTGGTAGTTCAAAACCTTTTAAGTCGAATTTCTAATTCCGTTCAGCAATACCCTCCCAGCTCCTTACTGAGCAATAAACTAAGGTTTATACAGACGAACACAAACGGAAATTATGTAACTAGAAGCATCTCACTGAGCGTATGAAACAAAATAGCTACAACATTGTTCTTTTCTTACACTGTATCCCTTAGAGGCACCGCCTTTTTGACCCCATACTTTTCAGACACGACTCCTGGTCTTTCTCTCCTCCCCAGCCCCTTTCTCCACCGCAAACATAAATTCTCAAGCCCCTAAGGGAACTCGATATTAATCCCTAGCCAGGATGAGTAAGCTAAATTGGAGGCAGCTCGCCGTGCCGAACGGAACACGGGGTGATGGAAGAGATGAGGAAAGTTCTGGAAAAAAAGGCACTCCCTGCAGCTCCCCACCCCCATCGACACCGCCTTACTTCCCCCCCTACAGCAGGCAGCCATGATGGCGGGCGCAGAAGAAGGCCACGGCGCCATTTTGTCCACACACACGCACGGACAACAGCTCTGGGAGCCGTTCTCCCACTCTTGGGGAAGTAGCAGAAAAACATCCCTGGCTTTAAACAAAGATTTGGCACTTACCGCCATAGTTCAGAGTCCTAGCCGCTAGGGCGGCGCCTCCACTTGCCGCTCTCAACAGTTCCTGCGGTCCCGACGCTTCGCCACAGACTAAATCGCTCGCGCGAGAGACCCGGATGGCACAAAGGGGGATGAGGCCCGGCGCGTCGCACAGGTTGCTGGGAGGAAAAGGGGTGGTAACAAGGATTTCTATAACGACGCGTTTCGAGGCAGTGATTGGTTGTTCTTTCAAAGGGGGCGTGTAAGCCCAGCGAAAGGGGCGGGGCCAAGAATAAGCCCTAGAATGCACAGCCGGGTGATCGAAATAGGCGGAATGCAGGGTGGGGCGACTTCCTATTTCGACTCTAGATTAATTTTGGCCTCCTCCGGCCGCCGTAAAAGAGGTTGGGTCTGGTGTTCTCCCGCCAATTTAAATCTGTGGGATGGAACCCTAAAGAGATAAGAGGCGGTTGTGTGAGTCAAGAGGAAGGGCGAAATACTTGAGTGTTCGTCTTAAGTTTCTTCAGTTGCAGGTGAGGAGGGGGACTTGCGCTGCTGTGGGGAGCAGGGGAGTGGGCTCAGGTTGAAGCAACCTCAGCTTCAGTTCGGGGTCTTTTCGTCTCGACGCTGGCAGGAGTGAGGTTGGAGTCGCTTCTTGGCTGGCGGCGATGTTCGGCTGAGAGCGTTTATATATGCAGGCCTAGAAGCGTTTCATCTCGCATATTACCCCATAGTCGCTAAGATGTTCTCCACGCCTCAGCCAGGGTAATCTCAAAATGCCTATCAAATCACGTTACTATCGGCTTAATATCCTTCCCCACCCCCGACACTGAGAATAAAATTTAGTCTTGATGTCGAGGTTTCATTTGGCTCCACTTGCTTGTCCCTCACTATCTTCCGCTCTTGCTTTGACCTGACAGCAGCCCCAAACTGTTTCCAGCCTCTGAGCCTTTGCACTGTTCCCTCTGCCTACATCGCTGTTCCGCCTGAGCTTTGCAGAATTGGCTTATTACTCAGGTCTCAGCTTAGATATCACCTCTTTCCTTTCCCAATGAAGATCTTCTTAAGCGACTCTTCCCCCCATTCATCTGATCACTGTTCTCTTAAAAACATTTAGGGCTTTTTGTAATTATTTGTGCATTTATTTATTTATTTTTGTAGGGAGGCAGTATAACAGTTAAGCAGGTGTAGATTTGAATCCATTTACTCTATTCACACCACTTACTTGCTGTAGGTGACCTTGGTCAATTATTTCATCCCGGACTTGTGTTCTTCAGCTGTAAAATAGGCTGTGCAGATTAAACAAGTAAAGTGTTCAAAACTGCTGGGCGCGCAATAAACGCTCAATGTGTATTATCTATTTTGTTTTTGTCCTTCTCACGAGAATATAAACTTCATAATGGCAGAGACATTTTGTGACTGATTCACAACTATATTCCCAGCTCCTAGAAAAGTGCCTGGCACATAGTAGGCACTTAATAAACATTTCTTGAATGAGAGAATATGGCAGCCCTGGGAAGTTGATAATAATTCTCTGTTTTACAGTTGTGGGAAACTGAAGCCAGTAAAATAATCACTCCAACCTCTCCCTCCTATTTTAATCTCCTCCCAACTCCCACTGAAACACCAGGTACTAAAACTATTCTCTGTTCTTCTAATGTTTTGTTTCTGTACCCTTGCTTATGCTCTTAGGAAAAAATCTTTTCCTATATTTAAAAAACTCCTATGACCTTAAATTCCCAGCCCAGGTGTTACTTGCTAACACTTAAAATTGAGTGTTTGCCATGAGCCAAGCATTGTGCTGGGTTAAACTCAACCCTTGAGTTAAAACTCAACCATTTTAGGTGGGTTACAACTACAGTCATCCCTTGGTATCAGTACCCATAGGGAATTGGTTCCAGGATCTTCCACAAATACTAAAATCCTTGGATGCTCACATCCTTGATCAAAAATGGCATAGTATGATATTTGTACATAATCTATGCATACCCCCCCTTACACTTTAAATGATTTCTAGATGACTTATAATACCAAATACAATATAAATGCTATGTAAATGACTATATTGTGTTATTTAGAGAATAAGGACTAGAAAAAAAGTCTACATGTTAAGTACAGATGTAATTTTTTTTTGATTTTTTTTTTTTTTGAGACAGAGTCTCACTCTGTTGCCCAGGCTAGAGTGTAGTGGCATCATCATAGCTCAGTGCAACCTTAAGCTGTTGGGCTCTTGCTGTCCTCCAGTAGCTGGGACTACAAGTGAGTGCCACTATGCCTGGCTAATTTTTAAAAAACATTTTTTTTATAGAAACGGGGTCTTGCTACTTTGCCCAGGCTGGTCTCAAACTCCTGGCCTCAAGTGATCCTGTCACTTCAGCCAAAGTGCTAGGATTACAGGCATGAGCCACTGCGCATGGCCCTTTTTGAATATTTTTGATATGTCTATTGGTCGAATCTAGGGATATGGAACCCACAAATATGAAGGGCCAACTGTATATTCCCATTTTATAGAGTAGAGAACCAAGGAACAGAAAATTTAAGTTGCTTGTCCAAGGAGAACTGACTAATTGTGAAAGAGTTCAAAGTCAGAAATTGTACCTTCCCTGTGCTATACCTATAGGTTTTATTTTTTTTCTTATTTTGTCCCTTCCCCACCTCCTATAGATTTTAAAACATACTTCTGGTAACACCCATCAAAACAATTGTAATGATTTTGTTATCGTTCCCAATTAGTCTTGATCCAGGGATTGTTTTTCTTCAGGGTTCTGTTCGCATCCGGACTACAGATGATAAGAGCCAAGTAAATCTTTGCCGTCGAGATGGTTAAGTGATTCTCTTAAGGTTTCAAGTGTTGTCTTTGGTCCAGAAACCTAATTCTGTTTCTTCCTCCTCCCCTTATCATTTTTATTTATTGCATAGTAATATTTTAAAAACATTAATGGACATTGTTTTAAAGTTCATCTCGAATTTTGCCATCATAAGATATCCCAGACAGTCTGACTTCAGAACCTACATTCTTTGTTGCTATGCTGATTAAAGGTTTATTTCAAATGAAAATTTGGTATCATTTCAATCTAGGCACACAAAGTACAGGGAGCTCTAAGACACACTAGTAAGGTTAGAATTGTTTGTATATGTAAACCAATATGTTGTCCTCTAGTGATAATCATAGTTCTAGTTCCATTTATCTTATTGGCTCAAAGTGTTTACTGACCACAGAAATAGCATGAAGACAAAGAAGTCTTTATATGTTGATAGTAGTTTTTTTGTTTTTTTGGAGACAGCATCTTGCTCTGTTGCCCAGGCTGGAGTACAGGGATGTGATTGTAGCTCACTGCGGCCTTGAACTCCTGGGCTCAAGTGATCATACCAGCTCAGCCTCCTGAGTAGGCACATGCCATCATGCTTGATTTATTTTTTAATTTTTTTGTAGTGATGGGGTCTCCCTATGTTACTCAGGCTGGTCTTGAATTCCTGGCATCAAGTGATCCTCCTACCTCAGCCTCCCAAAGTGCGGGGGTTACAGTCATGAGCCGCTGTGTCTGGCCTGTTTTTGTTTTGTTTTGTTTTTTGAGACAGAGTCTTGCTCTGTTGCCCAGGCT